ATTTTTTATGTCGCACAGTATTTGCGCAAATGTTTATCAAACCAATATTTTTAGGATAAATTACACTAAAATTAAATTTAGTGCACAGAAACACAAAAAAATAAAAATATAAATAGATACCAAACATGTCAAGCCTTTAAATTGAATGCATTCGGGAAACAGCAAAAAACTACAATACCCCAAATTTCTCATAGGCGACGCTTTAAAAGCTTTTTATGCTCATAATTTTAGTGTTACCAGTGATTAATGGCCCTAGAATTATTGCTTTCACTCCGATATTCACGATGATATGCAACATGTGTGGCGCAATTTTTTATTTTTGCACGTAGGTGTACCCGAGGCATGTTTGCGTTGCATGTGTATGCACATGGGGGCGGGGGACTTTAAAAAATGTTTTGCATTTGTTATTTTTTTCATTTTTTTTACACTGACCTTTATTGCTATCACATAGGGGGCTAAGAAGCACCCTATATAATAGCAAATATAATGTGACAGGTCCTCTTTATGGAGACATCAGGGGTCTTTCATACCCCTAATGTCACCTAGGGGCCTCTAAGAAGCTGAGAAAGCAGAGATCTGCTTCCCCAGCTTCTTCTCCTGGCTCTAAGAGCCGGAGAATGTAAACAGTGATGTAATGCACATAATTTCCCGGTCCAGTGATCAGAGGAGAGATCAGTGGCCGATCAGTCAGGGGAGACCCGCCGTGCCAGTCTCAAGCCCACACGGGGGACACCAGAGCCGTGGAAGCCAGTGGCAGCAGCCTAAGGGGGGGGCACACAGTGCCGCACAGTACAAGCGATCCAACTGCTGCACAGCCGTCGGATTGCTTGTATTTAAACAGCAATCATCTGCTGTTTAAAATGATACTTGTGATGATGTTGTGTTCTTGGTATATAACCGCTTCAGGAATCATGAAGTGGTTACAGTGACATTAAACCTTCAGGTTTTTTTTATTTTCTTATTTATAGGGGCCAGACTTACTGTAGAAATATATTCTTTTATTCTGTCTTTTTTTAATTTACTTGTTCTCTGGTGGTATCCAGATCACAAGCCGTGCGGGTGTCTCCATCAGCTAGCCAACTGATGTGGAGGCACAAGGTCATGGCCGCGCCCGCACCTACCTGTGTGCGCCCATAGACACACAGCGTGTCACCGCCCATGTCCCCAACCTTGAAGTCAAATCTTGACTGATGGCAGAAGGAGTCTGTGTCTCCTCTGCCCTCAGTACCCTCCCCCACAACCAGGAAGTTCAGGGAACCCCCCCGTATCTTCCTGGTCGTGGCAGAGGAGAGGGGTGGCTGCAAGTAAGTGTGGGGGAACGGGTGTGTTAGAAAAGTACTAGGTGTTTTTTGCCCTAATGCAGAGAATGCATTAAATAAAAAAAAACAGCCTTTAGTACTACTTTAAAGAAAGTCATAATATACAAGTTAAAAGGCTAACAAGCTAATAACAGAAATCACATAGAACCTTTTAACTTTTTTGAGATGAGGTCCCAAACTATTTGGCCCTGCCTATGTGCCCTTGTACATATAGTTCAGTACTTTACTTTTGATAAGAATCTGTTCATACACTGTCTTGTATAATCTCACCTTGAAGTATGTACAAGCAGAAAAAACTGGGGCTTTCCAAAATATGGGCTCTATAGCAACTACATGAGTAAAAATGTTAACATATATATCTCTCATCATAGGTTCCTTAAAATGGTAGGCCACATATATTGTAGTGGAGTTTCATAGATACTTGAACTCAGATCTTTTTATAATGCATTTATGTATGTTTATTTTTTATGTATAACTTTTATGTTTATGAGATTTATGGACAAAATACAGTTGTAAACCACATGTGGTTACAATGTTACTGAATGTTATGGCCTCATCCTATTTGTAGGGCAATCTTTATGCACTTATCAAATATATTATTAAAATAAATTGCCTTTTTAAATATAGCTATGCCTAGAAATGAAATGCATTTTATCAATTATACAGTGTTTAAAACAGTTCTTGGCAATCTATTATATAGGTAATTGCATAAGAAAGTAGTAGTGTTGTAAACACAGATCAATGGTGGAACAGCTTATTTTTAAAGTAACCAACCATTAAATAATGATGTGGTCTGATCATTTTTGTGCTAATTATTTTTTGATAGGCTTGGCCATGGAATCGATATGGTTGTTACTGCTGTTGTCAGCTCACATGATGTCAGTGGGTGCACAGTTTAATGGATATCAAACATTTGATCTATCAGTGTAAACGATCTTTAAAAATTATAATTTATTTGATCTAAATGTGGATAATACTGACTCAAATTTGACTATTTGTTGGATTGATTAGAAGTGCTAAAATAGAGAGGTGATCAAATGGAGTATCTTTCGTTTAGGATTTTTATTTAATTCAATCACTTTAGTAACACTGAATAATCAATTGAATTTTCATATATGTGTGTGGTCACCTAAACATTACCAGTTAAGAAATACAGCCATATGGGCTGGTATAATCATAGTTAAAGCACCATGAATACGTATACCACCTGCTATCCTCTTAAGCATCTGGGGGTTTTAAAAAGGGTCATGTTTTCAGAATAACAGCCTATTTCTGACAGGAACTTATGTGCCAATGGTGCCCAAGAGGAGGTGTGGGGGCTAATGAACAAATAAGAAAAATTGCTACCTTGACCGTCAGTGAACTCCTGTTACTTAACCTCTCGCTGACCGTAACAATTTCTTGATACACATCAAGATTTAACACATGATAAAATCAGAATTGTTGACTAGAAAACAGCTTCAAACCCCCAAACAATTATATATTTTCTGAAAGCAGAGGCCCTATAGAATAAAAAATGCTAGTTGCAATTTTTTATGTCGCACAGTATTTGCGCAAATGTTTATCAAACCAATATTTTTAGGATAAATTACACTAAAATTAAATTTAGTGCACAGAAACACAAAAAAATAAAAATATAAATAGATACCAAACATGTCAAGCCTTTAAATTGAATGCATTCGGGAAACAGCAAAAAACTACAATACCCCAAATTTCTCATAGGCGACGCTTTAAAAGCTTTTTATGCTCATAATTTTAGTGTTACCAGTGATTAATGGCCCTAGAATTATTGCTTTCACTCCGATATTCACGATGATATGCAACATGTGTGGCGCAATTTTTTATTTTTGCACGTAGGTGTACCCGAGGCATGTTTGCGTTGCATGTGTATGCACATGGGGGCGGGGGACTTTAAAAAATGTTTTGCATTTGTTATTTTTTTCATTTTTTTTACACTGACCTTTATTGCTATCACATAGGGGGCTAAGAAGCACCCTATATAATAGCAAATATAATGTGACAGGTCCTCTTTATGGAGACATCAGGGGTCTTTCATACCCCTAATGTCACCTAGGGGCCTCTAAGAAGCTGAGAAAGCAGAGATCTGCTTCCCCAGCTTCTTCTCCTGGCTCTAAGAGCCGGAGAATGTAAACAGTGATGTAATGCACATAATTTCCCGGTCCAGTGATCAGAGGAGAGATCAGTGGCCGATCAGTCAGGGGAGACCCGCCGTGCCAGTCTCAAGCCCACACGGGGGACACCAGAGCCGTGGAAGCCAGTGGCAGCAGCCTAAGGGGGGGGCACACAGTGCCGCACAGTACAAGCGATCCAACTGCTGCACAGCCGTCGGATTGCTTGTATTTAAACAGCAATCATCTGCTGTTTAAAATGATACTTGTGATGATGTTGTGTTCTTGGTATATAACCGCTTCAGGAATCATGAAGTGGTTACAGTGACATTAAACCTTCAGGTTTTTTTTATTTTCTTATTTATAGGGGCCAGACTTACTGTAGAAATATATTCTTTTATTCTGTCTTTTTTTAATTTACTTGTTCTCTGGTGGTATCCAGATCACAAGCCGTGCGGGTGTCTCCATCAGCTAGCCAACTGATGTGGAGGCACAAGGTCATGGCCGCGCCCGCACCTACCTGTGTGCGCCCATAGACACACAGCGTGTCACCGCCCATGTCCCCAACCTTGAAGTCAAATCTTGACTGATGGCAGAAGGAGTCTGTGTCTCCTCTGCCCTCAGTACCCTCCCCCACAACCAGGAAGTTCAGGGAACCCCCCCGTATCTTCCTGGTCGTGGCAGAGGAGAGGGGTGGCTGCAAGTAAGTGTGGGGGAACGGGTGTGTTAGAAAAGTACTAGGTGTTTTTTGCCCTAATGCAGAGAATGCATTAAATAAAAAAAAACAGCCTTTAGTACTACTTTAAAGAAAGTCATAATATACAAGTTAAAAGGCTAACAAGCTAATAACAGAAATCACATAGAACCTTTTAACTTTTTTGAGATGAGGTCCCAAACTATTTGGCCCTGCCTATGTGCCCTTGTACATATAGTTCAGTACTTTACTTTTGATAAGAATCTGTTCATACACTGTCTTGTATAATCTCACCTTGAAGTATGTACAAGCAGAAAAAACTGGGGCTTTCCAAAATATGGGCTCTATAGCAACTACATGAGTAAAAATGTTAACATATATATCTCTCATCATAGGTTCCTTAAAATGGTAGGCCACATATATTGTAGTGGAGTTTCATAGATACTTGAACTCAGATCTTTTTATAATGCATTTATGTATGTTTATTTTTTATGTATAACTTTTATGTTTATGAGATTTATGGACAAAATACAGTTGTAAACCACATGTGGTTACAATGTTACTGAATGTTATGGCCTCATCCTATTTGTAGGGCAATCTTTATGCACTTATCAAATATATTATTAAAATAAATTGCCTTTTTAAATATAGCTATGCCTAGAAATGAAATGCATTTTATCAATTATACAGTGTTTAAAACAGTTCTTGGCAATCTATTATATAGGTAATTGCATAAGAAAGTAGTAGTGTTGTAAACACAGATCAATGGTGGAACAGCTTATTTTTAAAGTAACCAACCATTAAATAATGATGTGGTCTGATCATTTTTGTGCTAATTATTTTTTGATAGGCTTGGCCATGGAATCGATATGGTTGTTACTGCTGTTGTCAGCTCACATGATGTCAGTGGGTGCACAGTTTAATGGATACAACTGCGATGCCAGTCAACATAGCAGATTTCCAGGTAAGAGATTTTTGGAAGATTTGTACACAGAAAATGTTAGTTTAAAACCAGACATCTTGTTTGGCTAAATTAATTGAATCCATTACCCTTGTCAAAGAAAAGCACAGCTTTCTGCAGTCCAAAGAGTTTGAATTACTTATTATACATTAAGGAAAACAAAAGTGCAGATCAATAATTTTGTACATGGAATACTGTTACTAACTGCAGTCTAAAATTGATTAGGGGTCCAATTCTTTCATTCATTGTTATACATCTTGCTGATCTATATCTATAAAAATACACTGATCTATCTTATGAACCACAGGCTACCAAAAGACTTGCAGCTAAAACGTGCTCTGTGCATTTGTGTATAGGTCTATACCTCTCTGACTGTCCAGACAGAGGGAGACAGTATTTAACATATTTTACACAAGCAATTGGAATTGATTTACTAAGGGAGTAAACACTGTAAATGTTTTTTTTAAGTGAATAGTCACTAACTATAAGAAATTTTAGTAAATAAGGTGAAGATTTTTTCATAACCAATCATGTGCAGGTAATGGTCCGGTGTTTTTAATTTTCCTTATACATGTGTGGGTTTAAAAAAATGTGTAGAGATGTCACCAGCACACCAAAATCCTTAGGATAAGCGAATGTTCATTTATTGAAGTTCCTTTTCATATAAACAAGCACTTTCAGGGCCACACATGGTCCCTTCATCAGGCTTAGCATTGATAATATAGAATGTACTCACCACACTATAAATAGAAAGACTAGTGCATGAAACAAGAAGAGGAAAACGAGGCCAGCCACACCAAAGACCATTAAACGATCCAGCTGACGTGCGGTGCTGTTCACTGTGGGCAACGCGCCGTGCGGTACCTGTTAACATGATGCTGCGTTCCAGCTTAAACCTTACAGAGCGCATGCCCATGATGGTTTCTCTCTGTCCTCGGCAGTCAGCTGTCTCCCTCCTGTCTGTTCCCAGGTCCCACGCGGCGCTTGCGCCAGTGGGTGGGATTTGCCTCTGCACACAGGGCCCGATGGTGTCCTAGCTGCCATGGCAACGAACAGCACTACACGGCAGCTGGATCGCTTAATGGTCTTTGATGTGGCTTGCCTCGTTTTTCTCTTCTCCCATAAAGTAAGTAACATATTTATTGACCTTATGGTGAGGATGGGTCCACCAGTCAGCAGTTGATATAAGGTATAAATCTAATACTTACACCCATCCTACTGTGTGTGATGGTTAATATTTGTATTGATGTTTAAACATTTTTGGTGGGATTATGACATCATTGTGATGTCAGAGGGTGTTTTGATAGGTTTCATGCACTAGTCTGTCTTTGTATAGTGTGTTGAGTAAATTCTATATTGTCAATGCTAAGCCTGATGAAGGGATCCTGTGTGGCCCCGAAAAGCACTTGTTTATATGACAAGGAACTTCAATAAATGAACTTTTGCTTATCCTAAGAAGAATTTTGGTGTGCTGGTGACATCTCTACACATTTGCTGATATTTGCAGCACCATCCGCAGTCACTGCGAGCACCCCCTCCCCCCACTACAAGGGATTGTTTCCGGTAAGGAGTGTAACAATGAAAAGTATTTATGGTTTAAAAAAATTAACACAAGTTCACCATGTTTACTTAGCACAGTAAACATTTAATTTGTAAGGTGAACATTTGCTTTAATAAAGGAACAGTCAGTTAATTTCAATAAATCAACCCCAATGTGTTCTGACAACACTGTTTTTCCAAATATAAATTTATTGGATGATTCACTAAAATTTTAGGTTTATTTTTGCTTAGTCTCAAAACAGTACGTATAGCTTATTTTTTTTTAAAAGCTTTTAGTTTACTTTACAAGCATTAGCATGATGTGCAGAAATTGCATTGATTTTGGGAACTGGTACAACAGTGAATGTACCAGTGAATAATAGGTATTATGAAGCTTATTTTTTTTATCATATAGTTTTTATTAAGAATTTTCAAGTTAAATAACACATCAACAGACCAATATCACTCAATGAAGATCAAACTTACATGAAAAAACACAGGTAAGTGAACCTTGGATTTCCAATTAAAATTAGGAAAAGTCTAGATTGAGTAATTAACTGTGATAACAGTACAATGCCATGAAAAAAATATAGTGTAAGAAATAGAAGAGAGAATAGGAAAAATAAATAGTAATAATAGGCGTAGAGAGCAGAGCGTTGTCCGGTGATAAGAAATAGCAGAAAAGACAGGCAAGAAATGCGTATGAAAAAGAGGTGGCCTGCAAGAATGCAAGGGAACTCAATTATAAAGACAGTTACTATGACAAGGTGAAGGTATTTGTGTGTGAAACTGAGTATGTGGTGTGAAAGGTAATGTGCTAGAACAAAACGGGAGACGGTGGGCCTTCATATAGTTGGGATGTCAAAGCACTATAAGACATTCAATTTGCCTAATGAATCATCCGATTTGGCTAAGAGATACCATGAGGAATGTTGAAATATAACCATGACATCCCGTAGTTGATCAAGGTAAAGTTCGTGTGGTAAAAACACATATCAGGTATGAAGAAATTCCCTCTATGATCTAAATTATTTTTAGTGTCTAGTCTATTCAGTAGCATCAAATGATGTAACATAGCCTTTACATTAGTTACTGTGGGTGGAGTAGTGTTTATCCACATCTGTAGGATGTTTTTTTTGGCTGCCAAAAGCCAATAATGTTCCCATTGAGACATGAAAGGGTGAGAAGGGGACAAAGGAGATATAGGAGAAACATGGAATAAACAAAAAGGTAAAGACATTTGTCTCGGGTTATTTGAGAGAGACAACATGTTGGTAAATAGTTCATGCCAAATTCATTCAAAAACTGGGCAAATCCAAAAAAGATATAGTTAATTCGGTCGGCAGAACATATAGGGCACTGCATGATTCTGGACGTATCTGAGGTATTGGGAGAGAAATTGAATGCATAGAATGCTCTATGTAGTAATTAAAATTGTAGTTCCCTCCAAGTATCACTGGGAACATGCTTAGTGATACTTTTCCAACTAGCAAGTAGTAGGTTGTACGACTCTTCAGGTGGTGTGTTCAGTATTGAAGCCCATTTGTGTACATAAGGTGGCATTGACAGGGGGTTTGTAGAGGAGGGTGCTCAGACTGTAGAATAAATCTCAGAAAGAGACATTTTTTTCGGGGTGCAGAAAGTAATTTAGAGAAAGTAGGGTCAGACTGGAGTTTGAGAGGAAGATGCAGAAAGGATTTGAGAAAGTTACTAATGTGGCCATATTGGAGAAAGTGATTGGGAAAGACTCCATGGAAGGTGATAAGTTCTGGGAAAGTTTTGCAAGTACCCTGAGGGGTCAACACATCCTTCAGCGACCTGATGCCTCTTTTATGCCATAGATAGATTGGTGGCCTTGCGGGAATATTGGGGAGGAGGTGATAGGCATTTGGGGTGTGACCATTCTGGTTAGTCAACATATTTTTCTAATTTAGTCCAAGTTACAATTGTATCCTTGAGTAAAATGTTATGTTTAATATGTACTTGCAGTAAGTGAAGGTGTGTATGCAAGACTCTCGTGTGGGACCAGGGTGAAACTAGCATTTGTTCTATGGAAGTGTTGAAATAGAAGTTCATTTCATGCAGCCAATCCCTTACATGATGGAACAAACAGGCAAGATTATAAAGTCTACCGTCGGGGACATTAGATCCTAGTTTAGTTTTGGGCAATTGCATGGTACGTAAAGCAATCCTTGCTCTTTTATTCTGCCATATAAAAGATAAACATTTTTGCTGAGCAACTGGACCTCTTTATGTTTAAGGAGAAGGGGTAGTGTTTGTAAAGGGTGGAGAAGATGTGGGGAACAAGATTTGAGTTCGGCTATAATTTTCATATAATGGGAGTAAAATGTAAATCAATCTGAGGCTTTACTTGGAATCTGAATACCGAAGTATTTCAGAGATTTTGTTCTAATTTGGATGGAATATTTAGATAACCATGGAACACCTCAGATATCTATAGAAGAGGAGGGAGAAAGATGCATGAGTTCATATTTATCAATATTAATCTTGAGTCCTGGGAAGGAGCCAAAATATCCAATATAATCAAAAATTATAGAGATTTGAGTATCAGGTTGTGAGAGGAGAATGTGGTTGGCAAAGAACATAGTTTGGACATTCTGGGAGCCTATACTGAGACCTGAAAACAGATTTGGCGAGGATAGTGATCTGGCTAGAGGCTCAATAGATAAGTTAAAGAGTAAGGGAGAGAGAAGGCATCCCTGACGAGTGCCTCTGTGTAGATAAAATGGGGAAGAGGGGAACATGGAGGTAGAGATGCATGCAGAGGGGGTAGTATACGTGGTAGAGATAAAATGCAGAATAGAGCCTTGAAAACCCATGCAAAACATTACTTACAGGAGCCAGGTCCAGTTGATGCTGTTGACTGCCTTCTCCGCATCTAGAGCTAAAAAGGCAGAAGAATGAGGAAAAGCAGACGACAGACGAGAGTGTTCCAAAGCAGCAATGGCTTTGCATATATTAGCCACTGCGGATCAACCAGTAACAAAACCTAATTGCACACGTGAAACCAGGGTATGCAATATAGTGGACAATCGATCAGTCATGATCTTAGATAGATATTTAGCATCTTGATTCAACAACAAAATGGGGTGGTAAAATCCTGGCTCTAAAAGATCTTTGTCTTTTTTGGGGAGGACCCTAGTATATGCCTCAATGAACGTAGAGGGGTGAATTTTTTGTTTAAGAATATAATTGTATAAGTCCAAAAAGGTAGGTGAAAGAACATCCAGTAGCAATTTGTAAAAGCTTGAGGACATGCCATCAGGTCTTGGCGCTTTGGCTTGGGGAGAGGATTTAATCCCACGCTGAGTTCTGTTATTGTTATGTCCAAATTAAGATAAATAAGGTCTGATTCTGACAGCGAGGGCAGTGGTAGGGAGCGTAGAAAAGAGCCTCCTCCATCAGGCTCGGGTGGGAAGGTATTATAAAGAGTTTGATAATAG